TGTGCTGGCTGGGGAATTCTGGGAGTTGAAGTCCACTTATCTTAAAGTGGCCAAGTTTGGACAACACTGCTTTAGAGCTTTGCAGAACTGTAGTCACACTTGCAGAAACACTGAACAGGGCACACATATCTAATAGTATTGTTATACAATTGTTTAATAGACATAGAAGATAGATGCTATAAATCCTAGAAGTTGTGCAATTTCTGGATTTAAGAATTCGATAAGCGTAAGAGGTGTGCATACATACATCGGAATCCCAGATATGCACTTCTTTAAATGCTTCACCAGTTTCTACAGTTGTAAAGTTTTCATAGGAATGGTGTTTAAATTTTACCATCTTTTACATTAAGTGTTCTCCTGGGGAGTTGTCATTTTCTATATAGTTTACAAATCAGTGAGAGGTTTAGTTGGCTTCAGAGAGTCTAGTTATATAAACAGTTGCCAGTCATCAGAGCCTTGGGAAGCTTTGTGGTGCATTTCCATTGGACTCCAACGTAATAGACGTTCAAGGGCATCATCAGTCCTGCATTATGCTAGAGGGCGTAGGATGTGCACGGCAGAAATAACAAGGATTGGAAATAGGCTATGAGAACACCAAGAATTAATTCCTGGCAGTTTCAGGTGGGCCTAAGGAAAACTCAGACTAACTAAACCCAGCCGAACCAAATCCCCTGTCTGAAAATCTGGTGACTTCTCTCATTGTGTGTGGAGACAACACAAAGCTAGAGAGACCAATAGTCTGATTCAGAGCCAGATAATTTCTGGTGCTCTGAATGCCTGAGGAGAAGACCTGAGCCAATGTCTCTTGTCCAAGATCCTTCTGAACTTGTTTGTGCAGGCAGGATGACTGTATATATTTAAAACACATTGGTTGTGAAGGAAGACCAACAGTGAAAAAGCAAATATTTAATAAAATTGGTACTGACATGAAATATTATTTGAAATTGCATTTTGATAAAAAGTATTTAAACCATCTTCAGCTGAAAAACATTCAGAACATTGGCACAAAATATTCACCTTATTTTTTTTTTCTTCTGATTAACTACCCAATTTTTATAAGTATCTGTGGACTGACAGAAGAATGTAAAAGATTGGTGACATAACATGTTAGTAATCTGCCTGTTCATGCTTCTTAAATCACTCTTCCAGCTGAATTGCTGTGTTAACATACAGTGAATCAACCCCTTCATTATTATGTCTCCTGGCTCCCCAAATAACTTCATCATCTGGTACACAAGATAAAATGCAGATGTTCTTAGCTACACTTATTGACCCAGACATTTTTTCCCTTTGGAAAGAAAAGAAAGAGAAGCTTGAATACTAGATAAATTCAAGTTCCTTATTTTAGATTCTGTCACAGTTTATTCGGTTTAGCCTTGCTAAGGACTGATATACTTAAACCATCCTCTTACTAACTAGTACATATGAAAATCTGGCATCCTACCCAAAAGTGTGTGCATGTAGGTCTGTGTGTATATGTGAATTTGAGTGTGTACATGTTTGTGTGTGTATGTATATGTGGGTTTGTGGAGGGAAGAGGGAGGGAGCAGATTGAGAGAAAGTATATAATTTCTCTTCCCTGGTTGTCAGTCTTCTAGCTTACTATTTTTTGCTTTTCCAGTTGGCAGAAACTGACATTGAAAAAACTACATTCTATGGGGGAAGCAGTTTGCAGGAGATGATCCAGCTTTGATTAAGGAAGATGATGAGATTTTTTATGCACACAGCAATTTATAAGTAGGGGAGTTATCTGTCTGCAGAAACCATTTGTTGTTATCTCTTTGACCTATCCAAAAATGACACTTGCCTGAAAGTAAGTTTTGAAAGTTTGCCAGATTGAGATTAGTAGTAAGTCATATCCAAATCATCTGAAATTGATTTCTATCACTAAAAAAATAGTTATGTGAATCAGACCCAGCCTGTATGCAAATGGATTCAATACATTGGCTCACTCCAGATGTCAGGACTCCCTATTCAGTGTGTTGGGATGGGGTCCAGGTATTCCCACTTACTTCTCTATCTCCCTTGGGGAGGTTTTAGAGAAGATCTCTTGGTTCACTAAACCATCACTGTATCCAAGCTGGAAAACTAAGAACAGATTAGTTGGTCTTGATTTAAGAAGGAGGCCAAAAACAGTACTGGAGTTTGTTATTTGTTTCTCTTCCAATAGACCATGCTATTTGACACTGGGTCTGCTATATCTGAACTGGGCCATTCTTTGAACAGGCCAGAGATGGTGATACTTAGTATAATCCACACTTTGGATATGATTAGCATCTTGCTAGCATAATGGTACTCTGTCCCAATTTTTCTTGCTGTCCTGGCAGTTAATCAACCATGTTGATTGCTCTGGTGATGGGATTGGTAATATTCTGAGACTGCAGGTTAGTGATGAATTGCCAGTGAAATGTTTTCTGCCCATCCTCCTAAGGTACAGGTACCTGGGCACAGGAATCTCCTAGAGGACAATCAATACTGATCTGTCACATTAACATGATTACACACCATGGCTTTGTGGCAACCTAAGGAGGAAAACCTAAATATTTTGCAGAATGCAAAGCAGTTATGGACCAGGGATGAGTTAGGGACACTCTCATACAATCGGGTAAATTCAGGCTTGACAGGTAAATCTGTGGCTGCTAAAAATCACATTAGGAAAGGCTTTCAATTTCTCATTTTTTTAAATAAAACCTACAGTTTTATTGAAACCAACACCAAGTATTAATACTTTCCTTTAAAAGTTCCCACCACAGCTATGTTCAATTTCTTCAATCTGAAGGGTTGGTACAGAGGATTTTGGTGTCTTGGTGTTGTCCAGAGGTGTCCACCAGGCATGGTCCATAAAATCAAGATGGTGGCTGCAATGGTGCAATGGAACCTCCACCCATTCATATGTGCATCACACATGCAACTTACATAAAAACAGGCAGAGCTTTGAGCACACTGTTGTGGCTGCCGTCTTGAATTTTTGGACAGTGCCCTGTGAACACCCCTAGGGCCCTTTCACATTGCTGAGAGACAATACTGTCCACCCATCTTTGGTTGGCAGAAAACTATATTAGCACGGAAGTTGTTGCACCCATTGCCAATCTCTCTCTCGCCTGTACTGCCCATGATTGCCAATGACCTGACTTCCCTCTGAGAAGTGGGAGAAGACGTAAAGTTATGCTCACCTTGAGATTACCCCTGGGTGGAAAGATCCAGCTTAACATCATTAGAGCTAAGCATGTAACACCATAAAAACGAAGCTACCAGGACATATTTGTGCCATGTTTAGGTACTAGGGAAGAAATTGTCTTAAAAGGATACATTTTCTCAATATCAGTTTGTGCCTCATGAGAGAAATCTCATGAACAGCACTTCTGTTTGGTCTAAAGAAGATGACAGACAAATTATGGGTTCTCCTGCTCCAATTTCTGATTTTTTTATTTTATTTATTAAATTTTTCAACCGCCCATCTCCCCCCAATGGGGGAATGCTGGGTGATTCACAACCAACATTAGAACATAAAATATACAAACACATAAAACCTTAATTTTATTTACTTCATCTGAGTACCTGTAACCCAGTCTGGATAAGGCTGGTACTCAGAAGGGGAATTCTAATATCTTTTTCCAGCCATCTAGAAAAAAAACCCTTTCTTGTTACAGCACTCGAGCTGGGCTCAAGAAAATACTCTGTATTAATTGTAAGCGCACAGTGGCATTTTTTTTTTTACCCATGCTTGCCTGGGAGTATACATATACACATTCTCTCATTCTCTCTCTCTCTCTCTCTCTCTCACACACACACACACACGCACACACGCACACACGCACACACATACCAAAGTAATCGGGATCCTAAATCTGCATGGTGTCCCACACCAGACAGGCCACATGTGCTTATGGTTAATTAGATAATTATCAAAATGTGAGAACTGAAACACAATTTAAGTACTGTTTAATCAGTTTGGATGCTAGATTGTGCCAGGACACTGAAGTAACGATTCTCCGCCATATGAATTGCCACTCCTTGGGCTGATAACTAATAACTCCATACTGAACAAGTTTATCGCCAGGGTCACTGTCAAATTAAATGTTTCCAACATATATATACTGGATACATATATTATCTTTCATGTTGGGGTTGCTGGGAAAAGCCCACCTCAGTTTATATACTGAAATATGAAATTCTGCCCTTTCCATGTCGGCTAGCAATATTTTTAAAAAAGATTTTTTTTAAGTCTTACATCGCTTCCGGACAACGCTCAGGCTTGGATTTTGGTGAACCTTGAAGGGAAAGGCCTTCGGCAGCACTGGGGCATTCTCCAAGAATGCCTCTTTCAGTGCCCTTTCCGTCTCGATTTGATGCATGGTTGATACCGAGAAGAGATCGTTCTCAGCTGACCGTAAGGATCGCGACGGGACATAAGGGAAGAGGCGGTCTTTCAGGGATGCGGAGCCCAAACTGTTTGAGGTGTGCAGCTTCAGCCTCTCTATCAGTAAAACAGGACGAACAGTAACCACATGGCCTAGTCTTGATGCGTTCTTCACATGGGATATAATTAGTAAATGTATTACAGTATTGCACTAGTCTATTTTTAAATCTGTGCATTTGACAATAATGATATGGGTATACATACAGAATTTACTATTGGTATGGGGGAATCTCTGGCAAAATGCTCCCTAGAAGATCTCCTCTACCACTGGCCCCTTCTCAGGGAAGTTTCCTTACCAGCCCCCCCACCATTTTTACTATGCACAGGACTCCTGACAGTTTAACTGTTGAGCATTGCAGGTCCAGCCACCCCATATCAAGCTCAGGTCAGATGTCAGTAGCAACTCCAAGTTTGCTGCAAATAACATCATTTCTCCTCCTATAGACATAGTTTGGTTTGAGAGTTAAGTAAAGAGAGGGTTCCTTTCTGTCCAAAGGGTTCCTAGCATTAACAGTGAGAGCAATGTAGCAAAACAAGGACAACGTACCGTTCCAAAATTTCCCATATATTTCCTTGCGTTGGGGATTTACACACTTTCCATGCAGAAGCTGTAAAATGCCTTGGCAGCTAGTACAGTCATTGTAGTTGACCCCTCTGCACGTTTTGCAGGTCCTGTGGCACGGTTCACATTCTTCCGTAATTTCATCTTTGTAAAAGCCAGCTCCACAATCTCTCACACATTTCCCACCTGAAGCACAAACACAGGGTCACTGAGGCCAGCTCAATCATGCCAGTACTGGGAAAACTGACAATACTACACCCAGTTTCTACTTATGAGGGACTGGTGATGCATGATGGGGATTAGAGTTGCACTGATCACCAACACAATGACAGATGCAGGTAATTCTGAATGAATTGGCCACTGACCATTAAATGATCTATGTAGTCATGCAGCACTCAGAGATGAGACGATATTGCAGAAAACTGCAGGACAGCACCACGTCTGAATCCCACACAGATGGAAGCATCCCAGAATAATAGTAGAATCCTACTGTTTGTACAATTCTATTAGTATACTCTTCCTATGGGACTAAGGAGAGGTATCCACATGAAGGAGATCCAGAAAGTCAAGATGACAACCACAAGTTCATGATTGAAGACCTGCCCCTTGTTTACATGTGGCGTGTACGTGATGCATGTGAAAAAAAGGAATGGAGCCTTGGTCATGCAAGCACAGCTTCCATCTTGACTTTTTTGACACCTGCCCCCACATACTTCATGGACATTTCTGAGACCAAGTCCTAATTGGGATACTAAAAGATTCTTCTAAAACAGCTGGGGGCTAAGTGCAGACTTCTTCCCTTGTAAATAATCTGAAACTTTACTGCCATTAGTGAAATACCATTACTAGAAAATACATTTTAAACTCTATAATTTTTCAGATATGATTTATATGAAAGCAATTAAAAATATCAATAACCCTGCACAGGTTGGTTTATAACATTTCAGTATATACTGATCTGAGCACTCAGTACAAAATTTGATTTCTTAGGTAAGAATATATAGTATGAGAAAAACAGTTCACAATAAAGTAGAGATGAACAGATATTGAGGCACACAATTCCTGATGTAAGAATAAAAGGGAGATTCCCAAACAGGATTGTTTGTTTGAATCCAAATGGCTATGTTGTCTTAATTCCAAAGAGGAATGAATATTTTTGGAAACGTTCTACGTAGAGAATTTATGTAAGAACTATATTGGATCACAAGGGTAATGGGCTAGGGAGTTCTGCCTTTTCCTGCACTGCTGCTGGCTGCTGGCCTTGGAAATATTGGAATACTCTGGATGTGCAAAATATTTGCTGGCCAAGTTCCATATTCCTGATTTGGAATCCAGGTGTTCCTATACCCAATCCTATGATCTGGTTATTTATTGATTTGATTTGATTTGATTTAGACCTCACCTTTGATTCAAGAGCTTAAGTTGCGTGTGAAGTAGGCTGGGCTGAGAGAGTTTCCATGGTTGAAGGTGGACTTGACCTTAACTACACATCAGCCTTTTAAAAATAACATGCAGTTCAGCCATCTCCTCAGAGGCCTGTGCGTGCGTGTGTGCGTGCGAGCACACTATTTTAAAATGTCCCTATAAGTTCCCAAGATAGTCTCAGGCATTCTGACTTCAGTTACCCAGGTTCATTCACGACTACAACATCCTGCTTCCCTTGTGATAGAATTCAAATTATTTTCATTTAAATATAAAATCAGTCATTTGGAGGAATACTTATTTATTGATTTATATTGATTTATATGGCCTCCCATCTCAACGATGTGACTGTGGGCAGCTAACAGGAATTAAAATTCTGTTCCCAACCAACTAACATAAAGTGGCTCCTGAAAACACCATTTACAAATAGCAAGGGCTTGATTACTCTCTTGGCCCTTATGATTGGGAAAACAGCTAGTTCTTCATTCATTTTTGACTTCCTGAATGAGATGGTGTGTTTGCATTAGTTGACTTTATTTAGCTATATAATCACAAGTTTAATAAAGCCAACTGATGCAAATTTGAAGAATTATTTTCCAATTATTCTTGTGTTTTTCTATGCAGCATACTATAATATTTGTGAACTTTAGTACAAGTACTTAATCAAAGGAATGAAATCTTGAACCGAGGCAATTGAGATCATGGATAATGTTTTATTACTCTGTGAGTTTTATAGAAAACTACATGCCACCCTTAACCTCCCCTCTCCTGAAGGACCTACCAGGTACAGAAAATGAGGTACACATTTCACTTCACCTCTGGACATGTTACCCATTCCATAGCCAAATTCTGTGCTGCAGCTATGAAGATTTTTTCACACCTGACATCCAGCCCTCTGGGGCACTTACCAAATCTATAACATCTTTCAGACTGTTAATTATCCAGGTTTGGTCCCTTCATAAGAATCAGATATAAATGTACTCATCTTGATTACATAAGCATCACTAAGCATTCCCTTGATGGTAAGCAACATTTCATTTTACTGTGCTTTAAGATATCTAATAACAGTTTTATTTGATTTTAGACTTTGACATGTTTTAGATAGTATATATGGTCCTCACACCTTATCATTTGATTATGTCTTATGTCTGATTATTTTATTATAAAGAAAATAAATAACAAATGAAATAATCAAACACTGTCTCATGTCTTTGATTTTCTATTTGCTACACTGACTGGTCACAGGCTGCAAACAACAATAAACAAATTTGAACCAGGATGCTTGTTTTACTCTCTCTCTCTCTTTTTTATGTCACCCGCTGTCTCCTCAAATAATGGGAATCTATTCTGTCATCAGTGTCAAATTATGGACAGTAGCTCTCAATGAAAGACATTTGCATTCCTGGGCATTTTTGCATTCAGGTCTGGTTGTTTCACTTACCTAGAAGGAAAAAACCTTCTTCACACCAATAGCATTCATATCTGTCACAGCTTCTACAATTGGGCTGACACTCAATGCATAGGTGAGAACTGTCATCTGGGACAGTATTTTGAGGACATGTTCTGTAACACTGCTGATTGTACCTATCCAAAAAAAGGGAGCAGGGAGGGAAATGGACATTTGCTACTGGCATTCTTAAATTGGGAAACATGACAAAAATTGATAATGGTAAATAGAAAGGAATATAAAGAACATTGAACAAAAGAAACAGAAATGATCTTCCCATATAAATATAAATAATAAGCAGCACATAAATGTAATATTCTCCTTCCTTCAGAAGGGCAACAACGTATCAGGAAACTTTTATTACTTTCAGCAAGACAGTCCACAAAACACAAATGATAAAGCATACAGGTAGTCCTCACTGATTGCAATAGGGACTGGCAACTCTATGTCACTAAGTGGTGCAGTCATTAAGTGCAACATCATGTGACCATGCCAACTTACAATGTCAGTTCTGGCTGTGGTCATGAAGTGAATCACCCGCAGTCGTTAAGCACAATGTCACGTAACACAGCTTGCAACTTCCTGCTGGCTTCCCCTTTGCTTGTCAGAAACCAACTGTGAAGGTTGCAAATGGCGATCACATGACTAGGGAACACTGCAACCATCATAAATGTGTGCCAGTTGTCAAATACCGAATCACAATCACATGATCATGGGGATGCTGTGATGCCCACAACTTTGAGGACTGGTCGTAAATCCTGTTTTTCAGCGCTGTTGTAACTGAACAGATGCTGAATGGCTGATCACTAAGTGAGGACCACCTGTACTCAAGACAAGCCTTATTCATAACATGTTCTGTACTATTTTTAACCTTATTTATTTATTTATTTATTTAATTATTTATTTAATTTATATGCCACCCATCTCCCCCAGAGGGTGACTCCCATTTACCTGGGAGTTACCCTTAAACTACCCTTGGGAGTTGTAAGCCACCCGAAGTCACACACACAAGATGGGCAGCTATATAAATTGAATGAATGAATAAATATACATGTAACAGAGACATATTTCCTTATAAGTTACAATGGAATCTCTTTTCTGTGTTTAAATATTCAGAAACACAGACACTTGAATAGCCTTCCCCAAGTGGTGCCTCCCAGATGTGCTAGAGTTCAGCCTTGACAATCTCCAAAATTTGTTAATGTGTCTGGATTGGGGAAAGCTGTTCTGGAACCTTGTAATGGAAACACTGCTTTCATTTAGAAAAGAAAATGAGACAGACAGACAGAGGAAGAGTGATAAACTTACATATAATAATTATGGATGCATGATGTACAGGTTTCTGGGTCATCTGAAATAAATACAAATAACACATTGAGGACAAAGTACTTTGTCAATCCAAATATTTTCAAAGATTAGGACTGTGCAGGGCTGTGGATTCAAACACACAAAAAGTGTGCAAATGCAGGAAATGGGAAGGAGATCTACTGAACTGCCTGCAAGCTCCATCCTGATGGACAATTTGAGATTGTGTTTTGTTTAATCTCTTGAAAGATTATTTTATTTTATTGTTTTATTTTACAAATGAATATTGATTTCCTGTCCTCTTGCTGGGCACTGCCTCTACATCCCTTTTGGCTTGGAATGCAAGATCTTTCTGTCTCTCTCTCTCTCTCTCCCTCCATATCTACCTTTGGGTAGAATGAATGATAGTCCTGCAGTACTAGTAGTCCTATTACTATTTCTCTCTCTCTCTCTCTCTCTGGCTGATCATTCAGTAAGGCATATAAGGGGAATATTATGAAACA